AATCAATTCCGGGGAAAAAGAGAAACCAAGGAAGTAGCTCCGGTAAACGACAAAACGGAGGACTAGGGAAGAACAAGAATAAGTGAATGGGGCGCTTTTAAGTTGTCATTAGGGCGTATTTCCCGGAGGGTTGTTTCGTTTTAGCTGGACCAATTAATTCCCGCATCGAATCAGAACTGAATTTCAGGATGGTTTCTTTTTCCTTTTCCCATTCGAGCATATTCTCGTCTCGTTTCATTCACTCTGACAAAGTTATCATTACATTGTTAATCTATTTCGTGACGTATATACATTAAAAATCTAAATGAAATCGCGAATTTTCTTTCGCTTGAAACCAGAATTACAATAGAAAATTTTTTAACCTTCGATTTCACTCTTGAAAGATGACACATCGAATCGAGTTGGACGCAGAACGAACGAATCGATTTGTTTTCGTGTATTGCATTTTCATTAATCATCTATGATCCAGCGGCTTATTTTTCTGCCGTCGCAGGCGTAGAGTTGAATAAATTACGTCTATTCTGCATTCATTACTTGTCGATACAATGCACCGGCACGTACAAGTTATTCAGGATACGATATTTCTTCTCTACTTAGAGACGCAATCAGTCGAGAGAAATGACGTTTAATTTTTTGCATAAAATCAAACGCAATTCAGTCTTTATGATTGCGCGATCACGTTATTTCCATTTGAACGTGCATGATTCATTCGAAGAAAAGAGAATAATCATGGTTAATAGGTATTATAGACGCTTGTTCCTGTCGCTACATAGCAGATTTTGTTAATTTATTCATTAATTCATACTAGTACTTTAACAAGATTGTGAAAATTATGACTGTAAGCAATCTGTAAGCAACAAACTAAATGCATTATTTTGTTTTCTGTAAATGATTGATACTCCTACCTGAATGAAGTTTAGCCCTCACATACACAGTTGTAACAACAGTTACACGATGTCGAACTAAATCGTGACGAATCTGAAATTTAATCAATGTAAAATGAAGCATGTAAAATGAATCATTTTACAACTACAGCTTATCATATTTCCCTTGATTATCCATTCTGCCACTGTCCGACCATTTACCAGTTTGATTAACCCTACAACTATCCAAAGTTATCAAAATAAGTCGTTCGTAAACTCATAAAAATTCCTAAAATTTCGTGACACTGTATTTCCAAAGATTCTTCACAACTTTTATTGCAATATATACGGTGTCCAATTACATGTACAATTGAATAAAAATCTGAATAGGACTTGCATAGTGCGTCTGTTCCTTGCATTCCGTTTCTACTTATTACCATGACGAATACGCACGTTTCACATTAATTTTCAAATTTGGTTTTCTCTAAAACAAAACTTCAAACGAAAAAAATCTATTATTTCTTATCAATTTATTTTTTCTCATAGAATCTCCACTCTGTCGGTTGTACCACGATTTTGGGGACACCCTTTATAGTCGAAAAAGTTAGTTAATTTATCGACTTGCATATTCTCAATAATCTGTCTCTTTTAAAAATGTGATAGAAAGAGAAACACGTTCGTCTTCAGGTAGTTTTACTGTTAAAAACAATCCAATCAATAAATACCCATCAATCAAATCCACGGAATGAGAAGAGGAACACTCGACCGGCATCGAATTTTACAGAAGTGTTTCCGCCCGTTAATATTTCCCGCGTCTTCGTCCGAACAACCGAAACGCCCAAGGTGTTCCCCGATGTTGTCCCCCCTCCTCACTTTCTGTGTATATTAAATGGCGTTCACGGTTCGCCAGTCAAATTGAATCCCAGGCTATTGGCAGATTCTGAATAAGCTCTAACAATGGAGTCTGTTACACGAGCCTTCCTACTTTCTGCCACCCTTGGCGGCCTTCATCCCACTTTCGGTACCTGGTACCTTCGAAGCTTGCCCCCTACCATCCCCTCTACCTCACTCCATCCTTCGATGGAGCCCTCAGTCTTCGGTTTCCTTCAATTTCCGAGACAGGAAAGCCATGTCTGTGCAGCCGCCCCCCTCGTGGCTCGGAAATTGGAAATAAATCGTGACGATATCGATGTAAAATGTAAAGGTGATCGTCGGGCAACGCTGACAAAACTTTTCTGACGTGTCGTCGCTCGGCTGGCGGCCATGTTTTTTCCATCGACGAATTAAAGCGCGAAGGCTCTGTTATCCAGCGGCGGATGATTTATGATTGAAAGCAACAGATTGTAGATGTTTGTATAAATTTAGATAACGATCTAGGCTTACAAGTCTTGATGGATTCCTTCTTTTTCGGTAAGTCCTTCGATATACAGAAAAGTTTATGGCTCTGTCAAAACGTAATTTCAAGTTTAGGATCAATTAACGAACATTTTTCTATCTGGAATTTTATTAATAGAGTCATTGCGGTGGATGATCAAATTATTAGAGTCACATGCATAAATTAACGGTTTGACGATTTTAACGGTATTTTTTATAATTACATCATGCAAAATTGTTAATTAAACAATATCCGTGGTAAATAATATTATTTTAATTTAATCCGTGGTAAATAATATTATTTTATTATAAATATTTTCTCCATAAGGCTCTAATAATAATTTGATTAACCACTGTAGAAACAGTTCCCCTCAATTTCGATAACTTCTTATCACTTTTCTGGCCGAAGCACAATTCCCCGTCGATAAAAGAAAGGTAAAATGAAGATACGAACTCAAATACGACGATTTTACCTTTGCATGCACCCAGTAAGAATTACTATAAACAAGATCGTTTTGGGCCGTAACAGGTTCTTTTGGGAAACAATTATTACTCAAGAAATTATTCCTTTATTTCCATTGTTTCGGAGTTCTATTTACGTTACTTTGGAACATCGTCAATTTTCATTAACGTATATCAGTGACGCAAAATGAGTTATAGAATTTATACATTTTAAATGAAATACGTTAAAAAATAACAGTAAGCAAAATCGACGATAGTCGAAAGTAACCAAAATAAAATTCTCGTCATCGATAATGGTTACGTGCAACCAAAAACAAATTCCGTCATTGATAATGGTCATTCGTAACCAAAAAAAAATGTCCGTCACCGATAATTATTATTGACAACCAAACAAACTTTTAATCATGTGTAATGATTATTCGTAACCAAAATCATTCAAACAAAGCTATATACTCTTATACCGTCACTATTTAAATTCTGGTTGTAACAGTTAGGGTCTCCAGTCAGACCTCAACGTCGAAGTAGATAAGCCATTTTGAAGTCAGATTTCCCCAATCGGCAGGTGGTAACGCGATTCCGGTGGCAAAAAGGAAACTGGATTCTCGGAGGGAGGGGGTGGTAGAAGCTGTCCGGGAAAATAATTAAGTGATTGCCAAGCGTTTGAGGGGATTTTTCGTCATACCGGAGATTTAATTCGTTGATGTAGGTAGGAGAGGATAGGCGGTTGCATTGTCTGCAGGATGTTAAGGGGGTTAACCAGGGGATGGCAGGGGGAGGGGTTGGATCGGTCGGTCGGTGGGTGTGCAAGGGTGTCGGTGTAATGAAGAGCGACAGTGGCACCCCAAACCATCGCTAATTTGCCGCTAAGTGCCCGGCTTTGTTTCCGTACGTTCATCCCATCGTTCGCAATATCCTGGTTCTGAGGCGACGTTCTGGGCTACTTAAGAGAGCACATCCAAATAACCTGCGGGACTATGGGGCCGCAATTGACTGCGGACTAATTTCACCGGACGGAGGAAAGAACAGAGAGAGAGAGAGAGAGAGAAAGACAGATTACGCAAGGATCGTTTGAATGGAACCACTGTATCGGTTGATCGAACAGCCAACTTTCAATGGGGAGGGAGAAAGAAGAGAACGAAAAAGTACCGGCAGAGATTGCTGATGGGGATGGCTTGAAATCAAAACCTGGTAGCCATCGGGAGTCATTTGTAGCAACTCCTTTTTTCCGATTCATTCTACCGTTTACCGGTGTTTGTCCTTTTATCGGGAGGATTTCTGTGATGGTAATCCGCTGGCCGCGGCTGTGTAGATCCTTCACTTGATCCTGGATACAAGGGAGCTTATTTTTTTGTTTCGTGATTTAGTCTACACCACCGAGAGTCTAGTGGACCGCTGGTTTTTATTAACAAAGATTCGTACTGGTGTTAGTTCGAGTGGATATCTACCTTTAATTAACAAACATTCGTAGTAGTGTTTAGAACTCACACAGAGAAGCAACAGGAGGCTAAATCGTCGAATTGTCTATTGCTAATCGTCTGAGATCGAGAAATTTCTAGAGCAATCAGATTTGATGCCAAACTATTACCGTCTACTAAACAAGTTATGGGACACTTCGGTCGACTTGTTACCAAAATTATTCACACCTAATTGGTATTTTATTATGGATGAACAATTACTAGCATTCAGAAGGCGATGCCCTTCCCATCAATATGCTCTGTGAATGTCTAACTCTGTTAGACGACGATATCTCGGTTGCAGGGCGAATATAATGGCAAACAAAAATTTATTCTGAACGTCGTATGTTTCGAAATTTCAAATTCAAAATCAATCGGGGTAAACCTCACCAGGTATGGCCTACTTTACAGCAATTATCAACACGTTAGGTACTACATAATACGTTCAATATGAAGAGACAATAAATACAGTATTCCAAAAAAAAATGACATACTCTGGAAATTAGACATATGTACTTCTAAATTTTTCGTACATACAAACTATATTTCTTTTAAATAAATATAATACGTATAAAGAAAATTCTTTACCCATATCTTCCATCAGAGCTGTTATTGTTGATTTTCACTCGCAGAGACAGTCGTGAAATCTCGAAACGAAAATAAATTCAAAGAAATAAATATCACCAAATCACAAGTGGAAGAGTGGGGGCACTGACTCATCATCGGACGTTCGTAGTAATCACTATCCCAGTACTGTAAAAAGCGCTGTCCGTAGGAGGAGCTCAGTCGCCTTTGCAAACTGGCGCTAACAACACCGTTACAACGTGAATTCCTCGGACTAGTCAGGATGGATTACCTATCACTAGTCGTGACAGCAGTGGTCGTGTTTACAGGCTTGTACTATTATGCCCGCCGAGGCCTAGATTTTTTCAAGAAGCACGGCATTCCACACGTGCCACCGCTACCAATTTTCGGGAACATGGGTAATATCTCGTTTAAAAGAGAAACAGCGACGGCCTTCTTGAAAAAAATGTACAACATTCACCCTGACGCCAAGTACGTCGGCTTCTACGAGTTTACCAATCCCATCGTGCTGCTGCGGGACCTCGATCTCATTAAATCCATCACTATCAAGAATTTCGAGACGTTCCCAGACCATCGTCCTATTATCAAGAACGAACAGGACTCTCTATTCGGCCGGATGCTATTTTTCAAGAGTAGTGAGGACTGGAAGGATCTGAGGCACAATATGTCGCCAGTCTTCACGTCCAGCAAGATCAAGGGGATGTTCACGCACATGTCGAATGTCGCGGTATACTTCTCGAACTATATGTCCAAGATACCAGAGAAAGAGCAGGAAATCGAGCTGAAGGCCGTGCTCACAAAATATACGAACGACGTGATCGCTACTTGTGTGTTTGGAATCGGCGTGAATTCGATCGAGGATCCTAACAACGCGATCTACGTGAACGGGAGAGGAGTCACTAACTTCAGCGGACCCCTGCAGTATCTGAAGTTTCTACTAATAAGAAACTGGCCGTCGTTGGTGCAGCTGCTGAATATCAAGTTCGTACCGGCCAAACGGGAGAAATACTTCGAGGACTTGATCGTGGACACTATGAACCAGAGGGAAAAGAACGGTATTTATAGACCCGATATGATGCAGTATCTGATTGAGGTCAGGAAAAAGAGCAAAGCAGAGAGACAATTGACTGACAAAGACATGGCCTCTCAGGCTTTCGGCTTCTTTTTCGGTGGTTACGAAACCGTGGCGTCTCAGGCCTGCTCGACTATTCACAATATAGTCACAAACCCCGAAGTCCAAGAGAGATTGCAGCAAGAGATCGACCAGATACTGGAGAAGACGCAGGGACAGATTACTTACGATACGATAGTCGGCATGGAATATTTAGACGCTGTATTGAATGAGTCATTGAGGATGTACCCATCCTCTCTTTTTTTGGACAGGGTGTGCATGCAGGACTTCGAGCTGCCTCCAACATTGCCTGGTCACAAACCGTTCATCGCCAAAAAGGGGACGAATGTGTGGATCCCAGTTTACGCGATTCAAACCGATCCCAATTACTTCGAGGATCCTGAGAAGTTTAATCCGGAACGATTCCTTCAGGATGGCAAGAGAATCGCGAGTTCTGGCACATTTATCCCATTCGGAGTGGGACCAAGATCCTGCATAGGCAATAGGTTCGCGTTGATCGAGATCAAGGTCCTGCTTTTCCATCTTTTTGCTCGTTGTGACTTGAAGCCTTGTTCGAGAACGAATATACCGTTGAAAATGGCTAAAGGTGTGCTAGGTATCCTCTCCGAAAATGGATTCTGGTTGAAGGTCGAACCCAGAAAACACATTAGCCCATTTGTTGTACAATAATGATCAAAGGAAAAGTTCAAAACAGCCTTTATATTAAGTAGTATTATGTATAAGTAGTATTTAAAGCAATTGTTATTAAATTTATACAAATACCATTTTATATTCTCTTATGATTTTTCAATAAAAAGCAGTTATTCATTAATCCCGCACTATCTCCACTCCTACTTGTAATATCAATTAACCAAAAAAGTAATAAGAAATAATAAATAACAACAAAATAATTAATTCCAAAACTTTTAAGTTTTGGAAGAAGTTCTGGAATTAGTTCCAATTTTCACCACCAAAGTCGGGGTCGCCAGTAAATGTCTCATATATTCCGAAATGTTTCCGGCACTTTCCTGAATCCAAGATGGCGGAAAAACCGGCAAGTTTGTGGGAGTCTCTAGGCCCCCACCACAGCGCCTAAAGTTAATTTGACTCACATCCGTCAAAATAGGTATAACACATATGGATTTTTGAAACTAAGGAGTGGGGAGAGGAAGGAATTAGTATTTGTATACATTGCACAACCTGTTAAAAACCAACATATGTTTTTAAAAAAAATATTTAAGTTTTTCTATACATATAGCAATAAAATCGTAAATGAGTCAAATTGACTCGCTCCGGCAATCTAGTGTCAACAATGTAATTTTTTTTAACTGGAAATACATATTTTTATCATTGCTATATTCTCAAGCATTTCAAGGTGAATTCAGCGACGTGTTAGAAACTTCTGTTTAAATAATGATTTTTCGGAGAGTTGTATGAACAGTGCTAGCAAATGTTCTGCTAGCCACTTTTACCCATAATGTGTAATTCAGCATTTAAGAAACAATAAAAATGCCACCAGTATTCATACAATCGTCAGATACATTATTGTTTACACAGAACTCACAAATACATATAAATGCTCAAACTCGAAAAACAATGAGTCATGAAAAAACCTACTTATCTTCCAAGGGCCGTCTAGATTTTTATCTCTTTCATCAATAGAAATATGTTGTGGAGAATCCAACTAGAACAAGTGATATACTCTTTCAAGTTGTAGCATCTGTCACCACGATACTATTATATACATATGTATACACTAGATATGGCGATAAATACAGTACGATAAAATACCAATTACAGATTCTGGAAATTAGAAATATATCCAAATGTTTCTGACGTTACGAAATATAATTCTTGAAAGTAAATATTAGACGTATTGTGGCAGAAAAGAATCGGCCGATCGGGTAGCTTCGAAAGTAGCTCCAGAGTAGTAAGATTCACCACATCACGACTGCAGGAGTAGGGGGCGTTGACTATGTACCGGAGGCTCCTACTAATCACTAGCTCAGTGTTATAAAGTAGGCCGTCCGTGCGTAGAGCTCAGTAATCTTTCCAGCGTGTAGCTAACAGCATCGTTGCAAAGTGAATTCCGCGGACTAGTGAGAATGGATTACCTGCCACTAGTCCTGGCAGCTGTGGCCGTGTTTACAGCCTTCTACTATTACGCACGCAGGGGCCTAGACTTTTTCAAGAAGCATGACATTCCGCACATTCCACCACAACCCCTTTTCGGAAACATGGCTAGTTTTGTTCTTAGAAAAGACACAATAGCGGGCCTGGTCCAAAAAATCTACAACTCTTACACTGAAGCGAAATATGTCGGTTGCTACGAGTTCAGCAATCCCATCGTGATACTGCGGGACATCGATCTCATTAAATCCATCACCATAAAGAATTTTGAAACGTTCATAGACCATCGGTCCTTCGCGAACAAGAATCAGGACCCGCTGCTCGGCGGTATGCTGTTTTCATTGAAGGGTGACGAGTGGAAGGAGTCGAGAAACCAGGTATCGCCCACTTTCACGTCCAGCAAACTAAAGGCGATGTTCACTCTAATGTCGGACGTCGCAGTATACTTCACGGATTATCTGTACAGGCTGCCGGAGAAGGAGCGAGAGCTCGAGCTGAAGACCTTGCTCACAAAATTCACGAACGACCTGATCTCCACTTGTGTGTTTGGAATCGCCGTGAACTCGATTGAGAATCCTAAGAACACACTCTATGTGAACGGAATGAAGGCTACAAACTTTAGCGGGACCGTGCAGAACCTGAAGTTTCAGCTACTGAGAAACTGGCCGTCGTTGGCGAAGCTGCTGGATATCAAGTTCGTCTCGTCCAAACTAGCGAAATACTTCGAGAACTTGATTGTGGACAATATGAACCAGAGGGACGCGAACGGTATATATAGACCCGACATGCTGCAGTATCTGATGGAGGCGAGCAAAAAGAACAAGGCCGAAAGACAATTAACCACCGAAGACATAACCAGTCATGCGTTCAGCTTCTTCTTCGGTGGTTACGACACCGTGGCGTCTCAGGCTTGCTTGATTGTACACGATCTAGTCGAGCACCCTGAAGCCCAAGAGAGATTGCAGCAGGAAATCGACCAGGTGCTAGAGAAAACAAACGGGCATGTGACTTACGAGGAGATAATAGGCATGGAATACTTGGACGCGCTGTTGAATGAGTCGATGAGGCTTCACCCGGCTGCTATTTTCTTGGACAGGGTGTGCGTGAAGGACTTCGAACTGCCACCAGCGCTACCTGGCGAAAAACCCTTCACTCTTAAAAAGGGAATGAACGTCTGGATCCCAGTTCACGCGATTCAAACCGATCCCAAACACTTCGAGGATCCTGACAAGTTTAATCCGGAACGATTCCTTCAGGATGGCAAGAGGATCGCGAGTTCTGGCACGTTCATACCCTTCGGAATGGGACCAAGAATCTGCATAGGCAATAGATTCGCATTGTTGGAGATAAAAATCCTACTTTTTCATCTTTTCGCTCGTTGTAACATGGTGCCGTGTTCGAGAACAAATATACCGTTTAAAATGGCCAAAGGCGTACTTGCTATCACGGCTGCAAATGGATTCTGGTTGAAGGTCGAACCGAGGAAACATGTTAGCTCATTTGTGAACAATGTTGCGGCTAATGGAACGTGCAAAACGGAATGAGAGATTAGTCGGTTATGGTTTTGACTGTGCCCTCGACCGTTAGTTTATATTTTACATATATTTTGATGGACAACTTGTGTACGATGCTACAGGCCTGTAAATATGTATGTGTAATAATGATGATACGGGAAGTTCAGAAGACCAATGTGATAAGAAAGATAAGATTACAACGAGGATATAAGAGATTTCGATTACGACACACATTTTAGTATGGAAAGCATGAGTTTTGCATATGCATAAAACAAATAAACTTCCAATATTACCTCAAGAAAAGTAAATTTAATTGTCTCCATAATTCTATAACCTGCCATTTTCCCTCGTGAATATTCCTTTAGGTCGTACGAGCTAAAAAAAAATTCAGTTTATCTATTCTTTTGCAATATTTCTACTACGTCAATATAATTGTACAAATTTAGCTTTCATTTTTCTTAATGATCAATATTCTGGAAATTAGATTCACTTTTTACATTGTTGCATTCACACAATATGCTACACTAAGACGAAAATCAAGAATGACGAAATTGTAAAACGATTGATGATCGCTTCTTCCAAGTAGAATAACTCGCCGTGTCAGACGTACAAATTTTAGATTCGGAAACATAGCCTTGAATGCAATTTCATCATTCTTGATTTTTGTTTTAGTTTGGCATGTAGAATCCACCCTGGGAAACCGTTCCACATTTTCATTAACCTTTAGAGGACGGGAAGACTGTCTTTAGGCTCCAGAAGTTTTCACTGTGTGCTAGGTGATAGATTTTGGGAAGAGATACAATACGTTGGTCGATTCTATATGAATAGGGCAATCGAATGACATATATGATTTCGTGTGGAAACTCCGGGTTTATGGCATCAATGGCAACAAATATCGGAATTTTTACCACTTAAACTGGCTTCAAATACTCTAAATGACATCGTTGGGTTCCATATTTTACAAATATGGAAATATATGAAGCAAATTAAACAATATCTTAGAGAGGAACGTCGGGTGATGTTTAGATTTCCAGAGCGTTATTAATACAGAAAATTATATTTACTTTTCTATCTAGAACTGTCTCTCAGAAGTATTGTGCAATGAATTTATTAAAGAAAGGTGACTGAATAATGCTTAACAAATATTGTTTAATGTGTTTCACATATTTTCATATTTGAGAAAGTACTCGGAATCTTGTATAATCTTAATGAGAAACATCATGTAAACTCAATAGCAATTGAGTGTGATTTTTGACGGCTTCTTATTAATAAGTCATACGTATACATGCATCGAACATTCAAATAATTTGAAACTGCAAGTTATCGGGAAAAGTTCATGAAAATTTCGGGACTAGTATCTAAGAATCTGGAAAAAATTAAACATTTGTACATATGACATGGAAGTGCCCATTAGACGACACTATAGGTGTTGATTACGGGTAGCTACGGCACTGAAGAGTTAAGGTAAGCGAGCAATACCACGTGGCGATAAAACACCATGCATTTCTTGACAAATCTCTACAAAATCCGATACTGTGAAGCAAATTCGTGTTACGTAAAAAATTTCTCGTAAAAATGCAAAAATATTGCATAGAAAGTTCGCACATTCGCCCTTTTTTAAACTTTCACGGCAACTTAGAACTATTAAAAAGGACACAATTTTATAACTATATACCCTGCTATATTCAGAAAACTCTCCTCTATCTGTCAAGGTTAAATTGAACATCATAATATTTTTAGACTTCACGTAAGTGCAACTTGAAAGAGTATATTACTGGGAAGTTGAAGAATATATAACAGTGTTATCAAAGACATTATTGTTCAAACAGAACTCACAAATACATATAAAAGTTCTTACTCGAAAAAACAAAAAGTCGTAAAAAGCTTACCCATCTTCCGAAGGCCAACACCGTATACAGTTTTATCGCCTTCACTATTAGACGTATATTGTCTGGAGAGTCCACTTGGAACCAGTGATAAACTTTTTCAACTTGCCGCACGTATCAATACGATACTATTATATAGATTAGATAAATGATACAATCGATTTTGCGACAAACACAGTATTACAAAATAACAATTATAGATTCTGGAAATTAGAAATATTTCCAAATGTTTCTGACGTCACGAAATATAATTCTTCTCAGTAAATATAAGACGTAGTGCAATAGGAAAACAATCGGCTTACCGTGAACCGGGTCGGGAATCGTATATGGATCTGTAAAAATAATGTACAGATAATGTACACAAACGACAACCACGGCTACCGCCGCGTACTGTATCGCCTACAATGCCAATAAAATGTTCGACCCACGTCTTCTATCGATACTGTTTCGGTGAATGTATGTGTAGAGGACTATGACTTCCCTATTTTTAAATGGAAAATGTATGTATAGCACTACAGATATGTACAATTCTACGAGTAATAATGATGAAAGGAGAAGTTCAAGAGAGGAGTGCGATAACAAAGATAAGATTATAACGACGATTGATGAGGTTTTGATTATGACATTCAATTCACTATAAAGGTGATGAATGTTGTATGTACATCAAACCAGTAAACACCGCTTAGTACCTCAACAAAGATGAATTTATTTATAATCTCTCTAATTCTGTAACACGCCACTGTCCCTTATCGTTTATAGATATTCCATTGGATCATACTTTCTAAAAAAAGCCATTCAGGTTATTTATTCTTTCGCAATATTGTTATTACATAAATGTAAATGAGCAAATTTAACGTTCAGTTTTCTTAATGATCAATATTCTGAATATTCCATGCACATTTTACATTTTTGCTTGTACACATACGTTTCAATACGTGAACAAAATAAATATATCGGGTGTTAATAAAAATGTGTCAAATCACACTATGTCGAAAATCAGGAATGACGAAATTACGTTCACGCTGTCTTTTCCGAGTTATAGCTGAAAATACCGGAAAAATAAGCGTCTATTACAATAAAACGATAGGTTTCACAACTTAAAACTGTCAATTCCCAGCTGATACACGAGATCGATCGACGATTCGCTCAAATTTATTATTATTTAACACTCTGCATACCTGAATCCCGTTCACTATTAAAAATGTTGTGTGGAGAATCTAATTGGAACCAATGATCTACGAATTATAGATTCTGAAAATTCGATATATTTCCAACTTCTTCTCACCTTACGAACTATAATTCTTCTAAATATAATAAACATAGTACATATAAATAAATTGTTTCACCCATATCTTCAATCGCAGCAGTTATTCCTAATCTTTACTCACAGTGACAATCGTGAAATCTCGAAACGAAAGTAGGCCGAGAGAAATAAATTTCACCAAATCACGAATGGAAGAGTAGGGGCGCTGACTTGTTATCGAATGCACCTGGCAATCACGAACTCAGTGTTATAAAATACGTTACCAATACTAGGAGCTCAGTCATTTCTGCAAACTGTCGTTAACAACATCATGGCAACGTGAATTCCACGAAACATTCAGGATGGATTACCTGGCACTTGTCCTGGCAGCTGTGGCCGTGTTCACAGCCTTCTACTATTACGCTCGTAGAGGCCTAGACTTCTTCAAGAAGCATGATATTCCGCACATGCCACCGATACCAGTTTTCGGAAACTTGGGCGGTCTCGTTTTTAAAACAGAATCAATGGCGGATATGCTAAAAAAAATCTACAACCTTCACCATGATGCCAAGTACGTCGGCATCTACGACTTCAACAATCCTGTCGTGCTGCTGCGGGACATCGAACTCATTAAATCCATCACGATCAAGAATTTCGAGGCGTTCCCGGACCATCGTAGCTTCACTGACAGGAAACTGGACCCCCTGCTCGGCGGTGGGCTCTTCATGTTGAAGGGTGAAGAGTGGAAAGATACGAGGAATCAGGTGACGCCCACCTTCACGTCCAGCAAACTCAAGGGGATGTTTGCGCTGATGTCAGACATCGCAATATACTTCACGGATTATCTGTACAGACTGCCGGAGAAGGAGCGAGAGCTCGAGCTGAAGACCTTGCTCACAAAATACACGAACGACGTGATCGCCACTTGTGTGTTTGGAATCGCCGTGAACTCGATCGAGGACCCTAAGAACGCGATCTACGTGAATGGAAGAAACGCCACTAATATAACTGGAAGCTTCCGGGCCCTGAAGTTTCATATACTCAGAAGGTGGACCTCGTTGGCGAGGCTGTTGGACATCAAGCTAATCCCGAGCCATCTATCAAAATTCTTCGAGGACTTGATCGAGGACACTATGAACCACAGGGAAGCGAACGGTATCTATAGGCCTGATATGCTGCAGTCTTTGATGGAAACCAAGAAGAAGAATACTACCATAGACGTACCCTGTCATGCTTTCAGCTTCTTCTTCGGAGGTTACGATACCGTGTCATCTCAGGCCTGCTTGACGATTTACGATTTAGCCACGAACCCTGAAATCCAAGAGAGATTGCAGCAGGAGATCGACCAGGTGTTGGAGAAGACGCAGGGAGAGATGAGTTACGATACGATAGTGGGCATGGAATATTTGGATGCAGTGTTGAATGAGTCGATGAGATTGCACCCGACCTCTTTCATCATGGACAGGATGTGCGCGAAAGACTTCGAGTTGCCACCAGCGCTACCTGGCCATAAATCGTTCACCATCAGGAAGGGGATGAGCGTGTGGATTCCGATTTACGCGATTCAATGCGATCCCAATCATTTCCAGGACCCTGACAAGTTTAATCCGGCACGGTTCCTTCAGGATGGCAAGAGGATCGTGAATTCTGGCAAATTCTTTCCCTTCGGAGCGGGTCCAAGATCTTGCGCAGGCAATAGGTTCGCGGTGATCGAAATTAAGATTCTGCTTTTCCATCTGTTTGCTCGTTGTGTCATGAAGCCTTGTTCGAAGACGACTATACCGTTAGAAATGTCCAAAGGCGCAATAATTCTCACGGCTGCAAATGGATTCTGGTTGAAGGTCGAACCTAGAGAACACGTTAGTCCATTTTTGAACAGTGTAGTTCCCAATGGAACGTCAAAAACGGAATGACAATTGAATCGCTTAAGGTGTTGACTGTAGCGTCGATCATTTCCTTATATTTTGAACATATCTTGATAAACAATTTTTGTATGATATTACAGATGTGTGCAATTGTTTGTGCAATAATGATGAATGGAGGAGTTCAAAAAAGGAATGTGATAACAAATATAAGATTGTAACAAGGATTGGAGAGGTTTTGATTACGACCCTCAATTCACACTAAATATGATGAATTTTGTATATTCATAAAACCAATAAACGTTAGTTATTACTTCAACAAAGATGGATTTACTTATAATCTCTATAATTATATAACCCGCCATTATCTCCCATAGATATTCCTTTAGGAAATACTTACTAAACAACGATTTTTAATTTATTTATTCTTTCGCAATATTGTTATTACATAAATGTACAAATTTAACATTCAGATTCCTTGATGATCACTATTCTCGAAATACGATGCAAGTTTTACGCTATTGCTTCCACAGAAACGTTTGAGGACCTGAGAGGAAAATCAGGAATGACGAAGTTACTGACAACATACGCGTAACATAAGATTGTGGCGATCGGATTTACAACCTAAAACTGTCGATTCCCACCTAATACACAGGATCGATCGACGATCTCCTTAAATTTTTGAATGAAATAAAATGGAATGAATGAAACCAACTCGTGAAACAATAGAAGATTGGACCTCTTAAGTAGAATAATCCGCCCTGTCAGGTGTATGCATTTCACATGTACTGCGTCCGCATTTTCAACAATTAATAACTCGGAAACGAAGCTTTGGACGCAATTTCGTCATTCTTGACATTCGATTCCGTTTGACATATAGAAACCACCGTGTGCAAGTGGCCCATACTTTCATTACACCCCATACATTTACATCCCCTTCATCATTAAAAATATGCTGTGGAAAATCTAATTGTAACCAGTAATATACTCTTTCAAGTTGCTGCACCCCTCAACACGTTACTACATGGTACACTCGATATGTAGTAGGTGTTAAATACAGTATTACAAAATAAGAATTACAGATCCTGCAAATTAGAAATATTTCCAAGTTTTTGTCACTTTATGAAATATAATACTTCCGAATAAATTGAGTACACATGAACAAAATGTTTCAACCACGTCTTCAATCGGTGTTTCGATCTTCACTCTCAGAAAAAGTTATGGAATCTCGAAATGAACGTAAATTGAGAAGAATCAGGTTCACCAAATCACGACTGGAAGAGTGGGGACGTTGACTTGTTATCGAATGCACCTCGTAATCACAAACTCAATGTTATAAAATACGCTCTCCATACCAGGAGCCCAGTCATCTCTACAAACTGTCGTTAACCACATCATTGCAAAGTGAATTGTCCGGAATAGTGAGGATGGATTACTTGCAACTTGTGCTGGCAGCTGTGGCCGTGTTCACAGCGTTCTACTATTACGTTCGTAGAGGCCTAGACTTCTTCAAGAAACATGATATTCTGCACATACCACCGGCACTAATTTTCGGTAACTTGGGCAGTATCATTTTGAGAAAAGAATCAATGCCCAGCCTACTCCAAAAACTCTACGACCTTCACCCTGACGCGAAGTACGTCGGCTTCTACGATTTCGCCAATCCAGTCGTGCTACTGCGCGACACCGATATCATTAAATCCATCACGGTAAAGAATTTCGAGACGTTCTCGGAACATCGGAGCTTCGCCGACAAGAAACTGGATCCTCTGCTGGGCGGTATGTTGTTCCTGTTGACGGGTAACGAGTGGAAGGAGACGAGAACCCAATTGACGCCCATCTTCACGTCCAGCAAACTCAAGGGGATGTTCTCGCTGATGTCGGACGTCGCGATACGCTTCACGGATTATCTGTACAAGAAATCGGAGAAGGAACAAGAGCTAGAGATAAAGATCTGGTTCACAAGGTACACGAACGACCTGATCGCCAGCTGCGTATTTGGAGTCGGCGTAAACTCGATCAAAGACCCAAAAAACCCTCTCTACGTGAACGGAACGATAGCCACTCGCATGACCGGAACTCTGCGATTCCTGCAGATTCATACACTCAGAAGGTGGAGGTGGCTGGCGAGACTGTTGAATGTCAAGCTGATCCCTAACTATCGATCGAAATTCTTCGAGGACTTGATCGAGGACACTATGAACCATAGGGATACGAAAGGTATCTATAGGCCCGACATGCTGCAGTTCCTGATGGAGACCAAGAAGAAAAGCCAGGCCGAGGGACATTCGAGCACCATAGACGTACCCTGTCATGCTTTCAGTTTCTTCTTCGGTGGTTACGACACCGTAGCTTCTCAGGCCTCCTTGACTGTTTACAATTTAGCCACGCACCCTGAAATCCAAGAAAGATTGCAGCAAGAGATCGACCAGGTGCTGGAGAAGACGCAGGGACAGGTGACTTACGATACGATACTGGGCATGGAATATTTAGACGCAGTGTTGAACGAGGCGATGAGGTTGCATCCGACCTCTATTGTTCTGGACAGGACGTGCGCGAAAGACTTCGAGCTGCCACCAGCGCTACCTGGTCATAAACCGTTCACCATCAAAAAGGGGATGAGCGTGTGGATTCCAATTCGCGCAGTTCAGAACGATCCCAAAAACTACGAAGATCCTGACAAGTATAATCCAGAACGGTTCCTTCAGGATGGCAAGAAGATCGTGAGTTCTAACAAGTTCTTTCCTTTCGGAGCAGGCCCAAGAGGTTGCATTGGCAGTAGGTTCGCGGTGATCGAGATGAAGATCCTGCTTTTCCATGTTTATGCCCGTTTGACAATTCGGCCTTGTTCGAAAACGAATATACCGTTTAAAGTATCCAAAAACGCGCTAGTTCTTACTTCTGAAAATGGATTCTGGATGAATGTTAAACCCAGGGAACACGTTAGCCCATTTTTGAACAGTGCGGTATCTAACGGAACGTCTAAAACGGAATGAGAACTGAATCGCTTAAGGTGTCGACTGTGATGTCGATATTTTCCTTATGTTTCGTAGATACCTTGATAAACAATTTGTGTAAGACACTACAGATATGTACAATGGTACGTTTAATAATGGTCAAAAGGGAAGTTCGAAAGGGACATGTGATAACTAAGATAATATAACGAGAATATAATAGCACGTATTTTGTATATGTATATGAAACTATCAAGCGTCATATATTACCTCAACAGAAATAGATTTATTTATAATTTTGATAGTCTGTAACCCGCCGTTATCCCCCATTGATATTGGAATAACAAAAAGGACTTTAATATATTTAAGCTAGATATATTGTTTATCATAAAGCAAAATTTGTTTATGCATGACAATTACAGTAAAGGTCCAACCAAGGTATTGGTCCAAATTCGGCATCCTTCTCCTATGAATAAAATATAGTTCTGGCAATATATCAATTAGATCCACTGAATGAAGAAGAAAAAAGGAAATGTTAAAAACAAACATCTGAAATGAAAACGACGTTTTATGTAAACAAATTGTCGTAGGTAATATTTATAATCATATAGTTACAATAAGGATATTCTAACACAATATACTGTCTTAAAATTTACAACAAAAGCAACTAAATACTTGTCGTTCCTAAACCAGTCGGAAACATGATGTTAAAATTAAATTGGATGGTCGCAAATAAAAACATAGAAGCGAAAGCACGAATGGGTATTGTTGATATGAATTATTATTATGTTTGATTACAGACGCATGGAATTAATAAATTTGTTATCAAAACGTTATGTTTACGTGGTATATTTAATCCGCTACTGATTGGAACAAAACAATTTACTGATTACTTACCGCCGAGTTAATACCAATTTTGGAACGTATGACACATGACAAAATACAGAAGCTTAAAGAGTATGGAGATAATTCTTTAATAATCTTTGTATGTGTCTCAAATATCGTTCACCTTTTAATACTTATTGTGGGTGAATGTGTGCGACCTAAGACTCAATTGAGAACGGTTTCAGTCTGGGTCATACTTTTGGTGTACCAAGTATTTTTTATATTCTTTAAAAGAAATTCAACTACATAAAACGAATGTAACGGGGTCACATGTCTTTCTTAGTTCGAAGTATGCACTTCTTGCTCATGGAGTTATTTAGATTAGTAGGTTAACAGTTTGCTGAAATATAAATTAAAAGAAACTAAAGGAGAGAATCAATGAACTTGTTTTGGCTTTCTCCACACATTCGTGTACTCGTCAAACATTTATTTGTCAGTTGAAAAATTCTTTACATTTTTATTATAATCATATTCTTTACTTATTCGTCATTTTGTTATTCTTCCGCTTTTTATTCTTGTAGTGGAATGTTTACACTAGACTGCCTCGTTCTCATCGCCATATCCATGTCTCGTGGCCTGTCTGCAGATATTATTGGATTGTCGTGAATTTACACATTTCGTAATATAGAATTTGACTATCTCTCTTCGTATATTCTCAGATAACATATCATTTCACGGAAAAACTTGATAACTTTGTTTAAATTGCTATTAACGTTGTTATTATTAAGAACTATCAACACCTAACCAATCTTATATTTTGTAGAATAAATTACTTCAACGAAGTTACAGTGTAACTGTTTATTATTTTGCCAAACTGTTAAGTAGATATTTTGTTTACTACGGATATTACCAAGCGTTGCGATAATACTGCAAGGTACGTACACGTCCTATTAAAAGACAGCGTGTTTCTGTATTACATCATTCGAAGAGTGTGTGAGTTATCGTTCTCACGAATTATCTAGTACAGAGAGTAGCGATAGTAATTGCGAGTGGGAGTATTTTTTCCTGTTTCATTGTTATCAATTCTACATTCCATTTAAACCGACTTACCTGATTAAATTAAAAGTACATTAAGCTATATAATATATTATAATATATTATATTTTTATAATATACTTTTTTTAAAAAACATGATATTCATGCATTAACTGACTATTACTAAAAAAGTTTGTTTAAATTACAGTAAAACACTTGGAATATATAAAAACTATTTGAAAATTAATGTAACTTACCCTATTATTATTTTATCCATGTAACTTAATATATTTTCTAAATAATAAGTTAACTTTAGAAATAATAATCGTTGGAAATTCAGTATGTTGGCAAAATCCGATCATAAAAAAAAAATAAAGAAAAACCAATAGTAGAATTCGTTTTTTCCTTTAGCAGTCTGTTCGCACCTTTTTCCGTTAAGACGACAAGACAATACACTGCAAGGATCCACCCTCGCGATCTTCAGTTCATTAATTCTGACCGAAACCCGCTCTTCATGCTGTTCCTTCGATCGCTAACCTACGTTCGACCCCTCGTGCAACCCCTACCGATGGCGGAGAGTGAATTACATTAAAGGGGGTGGTTTTATCGGGTCAACTTGCCAGATATTTCCTAGGGCACCTAAGGGTTATTCGCTCGGAAGAAGGAACGTTTCATAACACCGAGAGGAAGTTGAACGATAATCTCCATCCGCTCAGATTGCATTGGTTGGAGACAGTTTAAAAAAAAAACCACTTACTCAAATCAAAGTACTGATTCTGTGTTGATTAGATGTCTCTAACCAACCCTTAAACTATCGTTTAAGAAGTTCCATTTGAGCGGCTACTAGAAGCAATTACTAAAAAAGCAATTTAAAAAAAAATGTTTTTTCAAATTTCCCAAGGTTTCCGCACAAAACCACTAGTGTCGTTAAACTTCTCTATCCATCCTCTAAAGATTGCCACCTTGCTCATGATGATTCATCACCTTGCACGGAATGAAATTGCGCCATTTCAGTAATTTAGCAGCCAAGAAAATATGGTAACCCTAAATATTACTGAACCGTCAATTTTCCTTATCTCGATTTAAATTAACGAAGCAGACCATTGATTTCTCTATTATCCAAAAATTCCTTTATCCGAACACCTGTGTCTTCCTATTAGTTCGTATTCAGTAGGCCCCACTGTAATTCCAAAGTGAGCCAAGTGCCTCTAAATTCTTCAAAACAAACGCAGCACTGGTATGAATGTCCGTAAAGCTCGTCAGAACTCCTAGATTAGATGACCGCGACCTTCGAAGACGCAACCGACGGCGCAATTTCGCGGCAGGGAATTGTCTTTCCGTGGCTGCATCGCGCCGCCTCGAAGGAGCCTTCTGATAGATCTAGGTCAATTGCATCAATTGCACCGTCGCGTGTTATTCAGGGAAAACTGATTCGCCTGGCGGTCTCGATTCGCGGCGCTGTTCGAACTTACTGGGGTGAAGTGAGGGGGGCCGCTGGAGCCGCTCATTAAGCCGACATTCACAAGGTCGTATCGCGTCTTTGACACCGGCCGATCACGTACCGGAATACATTATACCGCTGTTGTACACCACGCGTCGCCGCGTTACGTGCCGTTCATGCAGAGGAGGTCGATCCATTCAGGAGATCGTAATTGAGATGGACGCGTAACAGGCGTCCATTACTGCCTCCCTCTCCCCCACCAAACGCCGCGGTTCATGCGTTCACCGTCAACCGGTGGCGACGATTTTTGAGCAGTCTGTATTATTTCGGCGGCAATAGACTCGATTTTAATCAGGGATCGAAAAAGTTATAGAACTTTCTAATAGGTTGTATTTAACCCTTTAACGCCCAGACCCTTAAATCGTTATTTCAAAATTACGAGATATGGAATATATATGTATATATTGTATCTCGTTGTATTGAAGTCGAAAATATAGATTTTAAATGGAACGATTTTTTTTTATTATTTATTTTTAGAGGGAATACCTGAGTTTCACTACTGAAAACGTGAAGATCTACTTCACATCAGTAAAACTACGGATTCTTACTTGCATGATTATTGCATCGGTTTAAGACTGGGCGTTAAAGGGTTAATACGTGGGACGTGGAAATTTTTTAAGAAACATTCTCACAGTTTCTATAAGAGTAGATAAATAAAAGTTTCAATTTGAACACATATTTTGTTCATCAGTATTAAAAAAGTTCTTAATCATTCTAACAAGCAGGTACTGAATACTGTTCAATGAATAGTACTACAACAATATTAAATAATTATATCGATACAATAATAATATTATAGTTATAATACTATCACGCTGAACAGCAAAAATTAAATAGTATAATAATACATAGATGTATAGTACCTTTCACATATATTCTCATATAGAAATATGAATATTATATATTATATTACAGAATTTCTATGTATTTCAGTTCATTTAAATTAAAAAAAAAATTTTATTTACGTATTATTGACGAGTTCTCTTGTCTGTTCAATATTCTTATGAAACAGTCTTCTTGAATAGAGCGGAAACAAAATATTTTGATGACTAAAATTATTATACCATTAATCTTGATGTATTGAAGAAATATTAATAATCGACTTCCATTCCACAATACAATTTCCCTGTAGATACATTTACAATTTTATAACTTCAATTTATTCACCAATAAATGAGAGTTTAGTTGAACACTTCTAGTACTCACTACCCATTTACTATGAATGCTCCAAAATTATAGGAAAGATTGTTTCAAATATTTCTGCCTCCTCATTTACTAAGCTAACACAATATATCGAAAAATTTTATTTAGAAATCCAGTACACACCCTCTTTTATGACTAGTATATTAAAGTTACAATGGCATAGCATATACCTTGATGTAATCCCAAAACCGGTAGACACAAACCGTCGAGGTCACTGACTCTCATCACCGGACTTTGATTGCAGAGTGTACCAAATTAACGTAAGACTTTCACCTGGATTGCTCCGGCTTCTTCATTCTGAGAATAAAACTTGGTATTCTTAGCAAAGAAGACTATAGACGTCATAATTATTTCAGTCAAATATATTTGAACAAATAGCGAACATATTCACTTTCACATTGAATACATTACAATTCTGTCACGATTTCTTAAACATCATACTTACATGCTACAGATTATAAAAATAAAACGATATACCTCACAGTGCAATTGCATTCAAACCTCGAAAGCAGCTCTGTATAAAAACCTAACCAAGACACAACAACCTTAATATCATGAATTTTTATGTAAATTTTTAAAACATGAAAAAAAATACAAATGAAGGTAACAAAAAGAACTATTTTAACAATATTTAATGAATAAAACTTGTAACTAATATTGAATAACACGAAGGACGTAATCTGCCCTTGCAAAGCATGACCTACATTAGTATGTCACGTGTCCGTACAGTTCACACGGAAAAGTACTGCATATGCATCCGTCTATCACAGTCCTATAATGCTATTTCCGTTCGTCCTTCAACGCAAATAATATATGTTGTTCTGGAGTAATCGCATAATTGTTAATTATAACTAATGGAAGCTGTTGGCCTTGGACAGTACCGTTCAAATCAGCACGCAATCACAGAGTCATATATTAAAGAAATATAAAACATTGTCCACAAATCCCATGTAACAAAGGTCCTCCATTATGTACCAGTACCATTGCACACGGAACCGACGAGGACGGGACACACTGTTTTTCTAGGCTCGACGTCAAACCAGAATCCATCCTTAGCCGTCATTTGGAACCCTTTCTTGCTCAACTCCATCGGAATGGTGGTTTTCGAGTTAGGCTTTAGATTACACCGAGCAAACACATGGAACAGTAACACCTTGGCCTCCATAAGGGCGAACCTGTTGCCGATGCACATCCTCGGGCCCATACCGAAGCTCAAAAACGTACCGGAATTCATAATCCTCTTCGGATCATCGAAGAACCGATCTGGATTGAACTTATCCGGCTCCTCGAAATGTTGAGGGTCGTACTGAATCCCATATATCGGTATCCAAAGGAACTCATCCTCCTTCACATGATGTGGTTTCCCCTCAGGCAAAGCTGGTGGCAGCTCGAAGGGTTTCGTGCAGACTCTGTCCACAGCCACGATCACCGGGTACATCCTAAGAGCCTCGTTTACGACAGCATCCAAATACTTCATATCGTTGATCGCTTCGTACGACACCTTGCCGTTACCGTTCTCCAAAACCTCGTCGATCTCTTCCTGCAGTCGCGTCTGGATATCCGGATTCACACCCACCTCGTAAGCAGCGAAGCACATCAGTGTCGAGGTGCTCTCGAACCCGCCGAAAAAGAAAACGAACGCTTGGGCGGTCATGTCATCTATCGTCAGCTCCTTCCCTGGGCCCAGTTTGCCTCTGGTCTCCATCATCAGCTGGATCATATCCGGACGAACGATTCCGTTTTCGTCCCTGGCCTTAATGGTAGACGATACTAAGTCCTTGAAGAATTCGGCGATCACAGGGTCGACGAGTTTTATGCCGAGCAAATTGGCGAGATACGGCATGCTGCGCACTATAAAGAACTTGACAGACTGCCATCTACCAAAGCTAGTAGCGACTCTGCCGTATTCGTAGAACTTATTATTTCGATCAGCCATCGAGTCCACGTTAACACCGAAGGCGCAGGTGGCAATCACGTCGTTCGTATATCTGGTGAAAGCATCCTTCAACTCGAGACACCTCTGTCCTTCAGGTATCGTCGCCAAAAAGTTCCCGTAACGTTCCGCGCACTCGCGCATCAGTTTGTACATAGCCTTCATCTTGCTGGATGTGAACGCTGGGCTGAGCAAGGTTCTCACCTCTTTCCATCTTTCGCCGCGTAGGCCGAATAGATTCTTACTGAACAGAGTGTCCGTTGCGTCCGATTGGAAGGACCGATGGTCCTGGAAGTGATCAAAGTTCTTCACGGTGATGGTTTTAAGCAGCTCGATGTCCCGTATTATGATCACAGGGGTGAAGAAATCGTAGAAACCAACGTATTTCGCGTCTTTTCTGACATTATACAGTTCCAAAACCGCTTCGGCGAAGGTGACTCGTTGAAATACTGCTTTCCACATACTTCCAAGTACTGGGAGTCCTTTGTAATGTGGAATTCCTCGCACCTCGAAGTAATTGTATGCCCCTTTGAAGTAGTAATAGGCCGCTAGGCCTACGGCGACCAGCGCCAGAATCACTGACCACACTTCTATCATGATGATTATTTACAGTCACTTTCGGCGTTTTTCATGTGTCCACTACACAACACTGGTTTCTGTGGTAATTGTCTCTGGTGAAATTGTCTTACTTGAAATATTATCAGGAATTGTGTGGATGCGTTTAGAGGTATAGATATATATATATATATATATATATATTACACTCGACTACACCTATCGTGATCGAACCTAGAATCCACTAGTGACTTGCTCGCGGTGCAGTCTGTCGTACAACTGACACGATTGATCCGCTTTGTGCGTCTTTTATCGAGTATTCCGCGAGAAAATGTAGGGACTGTGTATATGTGTTCCGCCGCATACAGCTTGCATCCTCAGTTTTGTCTTCATACGGAGATCATGTCATTATGTCATCATCCAGTATATTCTAATCAGGAAAAAATACCAGTCAACTGCTTATCTAATATGTACACTCATATTTAATATGTACATATTAGATGTACATATTAAGAAGTACCTAACGCATCCGTAGCATTTTCTATTCTGTTGATTTTAAATTACCCTGCGTTTAAAATTGTAGGAAAGAGTACATGAAGGATTGTCAATAAAAACTTCAGCTAACAGAATTCAAATTATTATCACGAAACTATTTTAATAAATATTCAATAAAACATAGAAGGTTTCTTGAATAGTTCGATTACAATCCTATAAATAGTGACACTTGGATACAAATACCATTTGAATGCTATAAGGAAAACGCATTGAATCTTATTATTCGTAGAAAGGGAAATACTCAGGAGTGCAATAACTTCGTTGCTATGAATAGAAATACAGTAATTATGTTTATACAGCCACCAGTTTACGTACATATCAGTACCACATACGACGGTACATTGACCCGATCATATGTGACGTATTATTAAATGATTCATTGTATTCTTTTTATCTAATGTTTTCGTAATCTTCCATTACCGTTAAAGTCTCATACGTATTTGTAATTTTTCACATGGTGTCACTATTTTTGCGTTCTCTGTATATGATTGAATATCAAAAATTCCGCGCAGTATTTTACGATACATCATTTGTTATTAAACACTGAGCACTGTATTTGTCAGAACAACCTGTTGATAAGTTTTATTTTAACGCATTCCGAGAAATGTGATACCACAATGCGATAATTTTTGTTCAGTCGTCATTGAACAATACCAATGCCATTTATTGACGCAATATTGACAGCAATTCGAATTTGTAGAACTTACTATCAATTATCACGAATAACCAAATATTCAAGGATCACATGACAATGCGTCATGGCGTAATAAACAATAAGAGGTGCAATTGCTCGATTCACACTGAGCGAGTCACTGGGCTGATGAAATGATGCCAGAATGAACAAAGACAGAGCAACCGGTTCCTCGACAAAGTGTACGTACAGTAGGATACAAAACTTTTCAGATAATGTATTTTCTAACATCAGGATTAATTAAGTGATACTTTCGAAAAAAGAAATAAATTTGCTTCAAACGAGTTTCTTCTTACATTCTTTGAAATGTGCACAGCTATTCTGTTCGAAAATGAAATAAGTGAGCAACTTGTCTCAAAATTTTACATGCCATACGTACGATTCACAGATTTCAATTCAACTTTGCTCAATTAGTAACAGACACTAGTGGATTATTTCTCGGCTGGATCTCCAACCAAAATCCGTTCTCAGCCTTCAGGAATGCTCCTCCTCTCCCAAATTTCATCGGTATCGAAGTTTTCGAGCAAACATTCAGCTCGCAACGGGCGAGAATGTGGAACAGAGAAACTTTACTCTGCAGAATCGCAAACCGGTTACCGATGCATATTCTAGGCCCTAACCCAAAAGGCAAGTAGGCATCAGAATTAGCAACATTCGCTTGTTTATCCATGAATCGTCCAGGATCGAACTTCTGGGGTTCGTCGAAATATTTCGGATCACGTTGGATCCCAAAAATCGGTAGCCAGACATGAGAACCCTTATTCATCCTGAAAGACTTCAATCCCGGTAAAGCAGGAGGCAATTCGAACGGTTTGACACACTGTCTATCAGTGATGGGTATAACCGGGTACATTCTTAGAGTCTCGTTGATCACAGCGTCAAGACACTCCATCCTATTGATTGCTTCGTAAGAGACATCGCCATTAGAATCCTTCAAGACCTGGTCAATTTCCTCCTGCAACATTTTCTGGAACTCAGGGTTCACTGCTAATTCATGAGTAGCGAAGCATAAAAGACTGGACGTAGTCTCGAAACCGCCAAAGTAGACCGAAAACGCTTGGGAAGCCATATCCAAATTGGTTAGTTCTTTTCCTGGGCCCAGTTTACCCCTACTCTCCATCATCAGCTGAATCAAGTCCGGACGACTGACCCCTGTCTCATCCCTAGACTTAATATTGGCCGACACTACCTCCTCGAAGAAATCTGTCACTTCTTTTCTGATTATTTTCAAACCAAGCAACTTCGATATTCTGGGGAAGAATATAATCATCGTTAATTTGAGGATAGAGCCACTATGGAGGTCCAGAGCCTCTCTTCCTAAAACGTAGAACTTGTTCTCCCTGTCTGTTATAGAGTCTATGCTTATCCCAAAGGCGTAGCTCGCGAAAACGTCGTTGGTGTACCTGGTGAAGACGTCTTTCATCTCTATTACCATTTGTCCTTCCGTCAATGCTGCCAGATGACGTCCAACAGTTGCTGCGCACTCAAACATCAGGCTAGACATCGCCTTCATCTTGCTAGACGTGAAGGCTGGAGTCAACAAAGCTCTGACTTCCTTCCACCTCTCTCCTTGAAGAACTAACAAGTTCTTAGCGAAAAATGGATCGATGTCTGGGTTTCCAAAGCTTCGATGATTCGAAAAGTGATCGAAGTGCTTGATCGCGATTGACTTTATGAGTTCTGGGTCGCGAATCATGATCACAGGCGCCATTCGATGATGCAGTCCCACGTATTTTGCCTCGGGACTCATGTTGTATATTTCTTGTACCATTTCAGCGAATGATTTGACAAAAATCATGGCTGACCAAGAGCTGCCCAGCACAGGTACTGATCTTTTGAAGGGCAGTCCGTGTTTCTTAAAAGGATCTTGGTCTCTGTTGAAGTAGTAATACAATCCCAGCATTGTAACAGCTATTGCTAGTAATGTTGAGAGATCCATCTTGAGTATGTTGATTATTCTTGCGCTTAGAACACTTTTTAAATTGGATAATTTACTAGGAAGATTGAAAGTTGGAAAATTTCAGTCTGTTCAGAGAAACAACAGCGACTACTAATGCGGAGTATGTTTAAAAGACACAAAGCCACTATATTCTGCACGTTATCTTACCAGAAGAGAAACTGTTCTGTGTCGTCAAACAAGCTGAGTCATTTAAGATACCACGTGAGCTCGCATGCGAACTAGCAACTGATGTAACGGAGTCCGAAGTCCCACTTTTAATCCGAAGTAACGATATCGATTTTAGGTTTTCGTACAAAATTTAGTTCAGGTCAATGACGTTTGTTCATGACAACTCACTTCCAACTATTGTCCGCCCGTATCTGTCAATGTACATTTCATTGTACAATAAAGCTTTCCACGGCAATAACTCTTATACAACTGTTTTATCGTTTAATTTATGTTCACTACTTAGATCACAGCTACTTAGACACAACACTAGATTACCATTATACATGTCCGCATATGAAAAGACAATGCAGGAAATGACAGGTAAAACAATTCGAATTAAAAATGTCTTAATAAGTATGAATTCATAAATTGCTGTTATTAGAGATTATATATGACTTTAAGTCTTGTGTTTAATTCATTTTAAATTTATTGTTTACAACCGTACAGTAGCTACATACAATTACTATTTGTAATTGTAATTTGTGTGTAATATTTTTATTAATTTTGGTTTTTTTATGAGCATTAAAAGTCACTGACTGAAAAAACTTAAATTAAATACTTCAGCTAAATCCTTTTCCGTATAGTTTAGCCCGATCTTAAAAGCGAAGAATGCTCGTGAACTTTTGTTATTACGATTATTTCATACAACATTAAATTCCATTTTAATGCTATATAAAGAAAACGCATTGAATTTTGTTATTGGTAAAGAGGAATGTAATAACAATGAGTGAAATAACTGCGTTACGAAAAATATAATTAACGCAACTGTAACAAACCATATCTTTTCTTTGGTTTAAGTTAGAGAAAAATGTTAGAAGAAAAATGTGACTAGTTCAAGGTGGACTACATATTCACGATCATATTTTTTTCACCAGTGCAATAACGAATGTATATTATATCAATTTAATTCGGTTATAAAGACGATTAAACAGCCTCCTACGTAATGTTTAGAATGCAATGAATAGGCGCTTGAGTATTTAATACTTCTTTACGTAAAAGGGTAAGAATATTCGATGTATATAAATGCGTTCCACTAGTAAATATGAATGTAGTCAAAAACTTATAGTCCTTACTACACGTTTACTAAAAATGCTTCAAAACAATAGGAGAAGAATGTTTCAAATATTTGTTTTTCCCATTTACTAAATTAGCACAACATATCAGATAATTTGATTTAGAAACTCCAGATACACCTTCCTTTATTAACAGTATGTTCAATTTAAAATGGCGTAGTACATACCTTACTGTAATCCCAAAACCGGTACGTCGAGGTCACACACTTACATCACGGGATTTTTATTGCAGAGTGCATAGAACTTACACAAGATTTTTTCCCAGAATGTTCGCAGGTTTTCATCCTGAGGATAAAACTTGGTATTCTTAGCAAAAACGACTCTATAGATGGCATAGTTTTTTCTGTCGAATATATTTGAACAATTAGCAAGCATATTAATGTTCACATTGAATACGTTACAATTCTGTCACGATTTTGTAAATATCAAACTTACATGCTACAGATTATAAAAATAAAAAGATATACCTTTTATTACAACTAAACCTTCAGACTACAATCTCAATATCCTGAATCTTTATATAAAAGTTCGAAACATCGACAAAGAGACAAATAAACACAACAAACCGAACACTTCTAACAACATTTAAGGAGCAAATCTTCTGACTGATATTAACTAACACAAAGTACGTAATCGGCTCTTGTAAAATATAACCTACATTAGTATATCACGTGTCCATTACGAAACAGTTTATAAGGAAAAGTACTACAGTCCTTTTATACATATGCATCCGTCTATCGCAGTCCTAAGATGCTATTTCCATTTGTCCCTCAACATCAATGAGATACATTGCTCTAGAGTCATCGCGTAATTGTAAATCATAACCAATGAAAGCTACTGGCCTTCTACAGTGTAGACCAAATCAGCCCCCAATCACCGTGTCATATATTACAAAAATAGAATACTATCACCTACAAATCCCACGTAACAAAAATCCTCCACTATGTACTAGTACCATTGTACACGGAATTCACGAGAACTGGACACACTGTTTTTCTAGGCTCGACGTCAAACCAGAATCCATCCTTAGCCGTCATTTGGAATCCTTTCTTGCTCAACTCCATCGGAATGGTGGTTTTCGAGTTAGGCTTCAGATTGCACCGAGCAAACACATTGAACAGTAACACCTTGGCCTCCATAAGGGCGAACCTGTTGCCGATGCACATCCTCGGGCCCATACCGAAGCTCAAAAACGTACCGGAGTTCATAATCCTCTTCGGATCATCGAAGAACCGATCTGGATTGAACTTATGCGGCTCCTCGAAATGTTGAGGGTCGTACTGAATCCCATAAATCGGTATCCAAAGGTACTCACCCTTCTTCATATGATATGGCTTGCCCCCAGGCAAAGCTGGTGGCAGCTCGAATGGTTTCGTGCAGGTTCTGTCCACAGCCACAACCACCGGGTGAATCCTAAGAGCCTCGTTTACGACAGCGTCCAGATACTTCATATCGTTGATCGCTTCGTACGACACCTTGCCGTTACTGTTCTCCAGAACCTCGTCGATCTCTTCCTGCAGTCGTGTCTGGATCTCCGGATTCACTCCCACCTCGTAAGCAGCGAAGCACATCAGTGTCGAGGTGCTCTCGAACCCGCCGAAAAAGAAAATAAATGCTTGGGCGGTCATGTCCTCTATCGTCAGCTCCTTTCCTGGGCCCAGTTTACCTCTGGTATCCATCATCAGCTGGAGCATATCCGGACGAACAATTCCGTTTTCGTCCCTGGCCTTAATGGTAGACGCTACTATGTCCTTGAAGAATTCGTCAATCACCGGGCTGATGAGTTTTATGCCGAGCAAATGGGCGAGATACGGCATGTTGAGCACTATGAAGAACTTGAGAGACTTCAATCTTCCGAAACTAGTGGCTTCTCTGCCGTTTAAGTAGAACTTGTTATCCCGATCAGCCATTGAGTCCACATTCACACCGAAGGCGCAGGTGGCAATCACGTCGTTCGTGTATCTCGTGAAGACATCCTTCAACTCGAGACACCTCTCTCCTTCAGGTATCGTCGCCAAAAAATCCCCGTAACGTTCCGCGCACTCGTGCATCAGTTTGTACATAGCCTTCATCTTGCTGGATGTGAACGCTGGACTGAGCAAGGTTCTCACCTCTTTCCATCTTTCGCCACGTAAGGCGAAGAGATTCTTACTGAACAGAGGCTCCGTTGCTTCCGATTGGATGGATTCATGGTCTTGGAAATGATCGAAATACTTCACGGTGATGTTTTTCACCAGCTCAATGTCTCGTATTGCGATTGCAGGGGTCAAGAAATCGTAGAAGCCAACGTACTTCGCGTCTTTTCTGACATTATACAGTTCCAAAATTGACTCGGCGAAGGTGACACGTTGAAATACTGCTTTCCACATGGTTCCAAGTACTGGGAGTCCTTTGTAATGTGGAATTCCTCGCACATCGAAGTAACTTTGTTTCTTTTTGAGGTAGTAATAGGTCGCCAAACTTACGACCAGCGCCAGAATCACTGACCACGCTTCTATCATGTTGATTACTTACAGTCACTTTCGGCGTTTTTCATGTGTCCACTACACAACACTGGTTTCTGTGGTAATTGGCTCTGATGAAATTGTCTTACTTGAAATATTATCAGGGAATGTGTGGATGCTTTTAGAAATATAGATATATATACTACACCCGGCTAAACACTAGTGACTTGCTCGCGGTGCTGTCTGTTGTACAACTGACGCGATTTGTTCGCTTCGTTGATCTTTTATCATGTTTTACACGAGGAAATGTTGGGACCTTGTATATATTTGTTCTACAAGGCGGAACGTTCATGAACGCATGACGATGATCATCATAACGATGACTGTCTTCTTCTAATCAGGAAGATACCAATCTACTGCTTGGATAGTACCTTAAGATGATACAATAATATGCTAGTAACTGACATGGTTCTATTGGATGTAGGTAGTAATAAGTAATACACTAGTTTTTGGTACATTTTGTACTTGTTTCGAAAAGATGCAATTATTTACGCCACGTTAATAGTATTTACTGCTTATTTTTAACATCCCATACTATTTTGACAGAACGGAAATTCGGACCATGTATTCCGAATTTAACTAGGATCAGAACTTTCTCCGTACCTATACAGTGACTCACATATTCCTTATTTTTTTTTTGAAATAATAGTTGAGGTTAAACATTTTAATACAATTCTTGTTATTGTATTTCCATAAGCTTAATTTTTTATCGTTATTTTGTACTAAGAGTTCTTTTTAGTTTTGAAATAAAATTCGTAGTTTGGTACATAGTTCGGTCAAATAAATGTGAACCTTGCGTGAATAAATTTGTGACTCATTGTAGGAAATATATGTTTACCATACCTTCTTTATACAGAATAGCATTTTCTATTATTTTGAGTTTTGTTTACCCTGTGTTTAAAATTGTAGGAAATGTATATTAAGGATTATCAATAAAATCGTTTGCGCTGGATTAAAATCATTTTTGCGAAGGTATGTTATTGAATGTACATTTCGAAGGCTCTTGAATAATTCAATTACATGATTTCAGTAATGAAACTTGGATATGAATCCCATTTTAATGCTATAAAGAAAACACATTGAACCTAGTTGTTCGTAAAGAGGAATGTATTATAATAAGAAAGAGGGAATATCTTCGTTGTTAGAAATATAAATACTCAGCCACAATTTCATGTAATTATCAACATCATTGACCCGATTGGATGCCATTATAGATCTTTATAAATACAACAATTAAAGTCCGTCCCGTTTGCTTCGACACCAATTTACGTTGCATCAGCTGCGAAACGAGAACTTGTCGGGTTGGTGACTGATGCAAACAGATCGTGACTAAGGTAAGGGGAAACATAATAGGCGCCAACGAGGTCAAATCATTCTCTCGATCTTACTTTTTCCGCACACAAGTTTCCGTATTCAATTTCTCACACCATGTTATTCTTAATATGCATCTATGGTAACATAATTGTTTATTGCAAGCGAGTATTCTTAAAACTAATGTAATATACTAAGTGAATATAATATGAGATGAAAGTTAATTTAAATTTTGTATAACTATTTTGGGAGAAGATTATGCAATAAATATTTAATATGTTTATTTAAGACTGAAATTGAGATGAATCGTCAGTAACTTACACCAGAAGCATTGGAATATTACTGAAAAGTAGTTACATAACGGTAACTAAAATATTCATATCCAACGTCAATTGATATCTAATGTAATAACTAAATATTCATATAAAAATATTCATATATTTCACTGTAATAATGAGTGAGCATATATAATAAATTAATTGCGGTTGGAAAGTGAAAGCAAATGTCACTTGTGACTCAACTTATGTCATCACATTTGTGACAGTAGCGAATGTTATTTAGATCGAAATATTAAAATTTCTTCGTTTAAGAATCGATCTTAGGATTTCTCAATTCATTGATTCGTATTGGAAATTAATTTGTCTTCAAAAGAATACTTTCATGAAAAAATGAAAAAGGTCATTTTTCGTAATTAGTAGAAATAGTATTTCCCTTAGATTGTACCTAATAAAATGATATTCTCTGTTACAGGTGCTGGATCCTGTACAATAAACATTATTACTACAAAGTAAGTTAACTTTTGTAAATACAAATATTTACAGTATTGCCTACCTGAAATTCTACAAAATGAACATACATATTTACACAAAAGCAAATGCAATTTAAAGCAGAAGAAGCATACTTCAATTATAAAAGAATATAAAGAAATTAAAAAAAACTGTAATATACATATAATAAGTATGTAGATAAAATCAGGCAACATTCTAAACAAAGAAAATACACCTCATATCTTCTTAGAAAGTCCCATTAACAAACGTACACGCTAATTACTACATTGCAGATTTGATACATTCATAGAATAAACGATTGTTTAAAATACAGTACAGTCAAATATTAGATACGGTGTATTGAGGTTTTCGCTTCACTCGAAATTACAAAAATCCTCCACCAGAGTGAACAAATATTCAGTATACTGACAATATTTATTCCATCACTCGAATATCGAAAACGTTATTACTTATACCTCTCCTATTATTATAGCCAGGAAAATGAATTAAACCAGACACTTCTTGCAATCCATAACCAACAATATTTGTTTTATCAATCATATCGCCACGACAATTGCGTGTACAACGTATAAATTTCAGAGTGATGCAATGGATATTTCCAGCGCTATATATTTAACTCCATTCTCTGTAAATTAGTACACAGAAATTGATATTTGTACAAACATCCGCAATCTAATAAATGATTGACGCACATAATTAATATAATGATCTCTTTCGTTGATTACTACTAAAACCAATTGGAATTTCATATCAACGGGAGAGCCCGTTCCCCGTGGTAATACGAACTTCATCGTCCGAGCACGTTGACAGATTTTCTGAAGCAACGACCAGTAAAAACGTGGGATTCAATGCAATTTCGTGATTGAACGTAGACGAACAACGGAACTGGAGACGTCGAAACACATCAAACGCAAGGATCCCGTATTATTGTCCGCGTATCCCATACATACTGTCAAGGCAACTTCGTAATCTGACTACGGAAGCAACATTATCCCATGTTCATCCGGCTCGTCTGTGCCTGTGCCGCACGAAATCAGGTGTCCACCTTGGAATACGCGGGCTAAATCAGTCCAACGGACTTTATACGTTGCGTTTATAGTACTGTTAAGGATCTAACCAGCCCAACGGCTACAACTCCTCGCTGTTATGATATTGTACTTCGGACTGGGAGTTCTGTTTATCTGAATTTGGATAACTGCGCTGATATTGCCGTTTCATTGCCGAGCAGTTGTCATGGAAGACAGAGTAGCCAGTCTTGGTTTCAGAGTAATGTGTTGATTGGGAGTTAAATGGCTTTGAATTTTGCTCGTAGGGGAGACAAGGGTTGTTCAGAATAATAGAGGTAGGTTGTAAGAAGGCCTATGACTTGGTAAATAAAAGAGACAGCGCTATGATTACAAAATAGAATGAATGCTGGCTTAAACCTAATACTCGCGACACGTGCGAAAATGGATAAAATAAAGATATAGTATAATGTTCTTGTGAAGTTCTTATTTCAGATTACAATTTATGGTTGTGAATGAAACGTCCGAATACTTTTGTCTAGGAAAATACAGAGAAAACTTGTATCATATTTTGTGATACGTAAGTAGCTCCGTATAATTTGTATGAAAGCTTGCGTTGGAATAATAGTAAACACTCCAGAGGGCAGAAGTTCAGTAATATTACCGTAACAACAAATACAACGAAAAATGTCTTTGTCTGAATTCCTTTGTCCGATACTGTATCTAAATCTCAGCAGTTACACGTTATTTTTAGATTTGGATAAGACCGGTATCTAATTATAAATTGTCAATTTGGTCGATCGATTTGAAGAACTGTAACACTTTTTTAATGTTCTCGGTGTCGTTCAAGTTCATTTTCAAATGTTCTTTAATTAAGTATTGATTTCTTTCCGTTGAAAGTCAAAGACATTGTAATAGTAGGTACCTATATGATGAATGCTTATTTTGTAGAGTAGAATAGAAAAATCGTCTATCGTTACACAGCCGGAAGCTACTACGATCTTTCAGTTCGTTTCGACGTAATTATCCTAAATAGAGGGATATTAAATAAATTTTACTAAGAAGTGTATTTTTCTATTTCTTTAGCATTTCGTGAAACGTCCCATATTGTACATTTAGTTATGGTTGTGTAGAAACGGTAATTATATGTTAATTCAATATAATTAATATGTATATATAAAAAATTAATTTTTTAACTTTCTTTAGACCGACATTATAAGGAATATTTCTCGTCGACCAAACAATGTTTCCTGATATTCCATGGATATCCTTCATTAAGGGGTCAGACTAATGTAACACTCTGAAAAGGAGCGTATTTTTGCGAATTATTTGTGCAGAACTCAATCAGCCGCCATTTTTGAAATTTTGTAATTGTATTAAGACAATATTGAACTAAGCATTACTTGAAAATGGAATTCTCGTATAAAATATACAAGATTTAAAATGAAATTACATTTTCACTTAGTACATCTTCAAATGTTTCACTGAGAATAATTAATCCAAGAATATACTGTTACCGTACCTCAATTAGTTAAAATGATATATTATTTCAATTTCTTCATTTTAAAATGTCTTCAAGTCCCGCACGTCTTCCTATTAAAAATTACAATAAAGTTTCGCAACATTTCTCTGCTATTTTAGCATTTTTTGTTTGAACGTACAATTTTCCACGTGGCATGTTATTCTAGTCATTGCAAATAAAATAAATAAATACTTCGTTAAACTGTATGCTTGTAGTTGGAGGATGAACTGAACTGTGAAAGTCTAGGATGACAATTTCAACTACAGTAGTAATTTGAAAAGCAAGTACGAAAACCTCGATTCTTTCTCTACATCGCACTAATAAAAAAAAAATATAATTTGTTATTTCTTTCTTAATTTCCCTTAGGTTCATTTTCCAATAACATGTGTCTACTAACAGGAAGCAAAGTATCAAGTCGATCGGTTAATTATTTTTTCAATTGTCTTTCACGCCAAATTGAAAGACAGGATTTCGAGAAAAACACATTTAAACTTTAAGAAGCATTGCATTCTATTCTGTCCGCCGTTTACTTGAAAGCAATGTACACCACATTCATTTTTAGGATTTTCAAAGAAAACATTTTAGGCATATCTTAAGACTACAAGATACTGAAAAATGTTATCGCAAAATATTTGAGATTGTCGATAATTTCCACTGTCTGAACCTCAGAGCCAGAGTGTATTAAGTCACATTTTTCAAACTTTGGAGGAGAGCAATTCAAAGGTGCAAAAACCTTGCAACTTGGGAACCGTTCAGTAAGAATTTAACGAGAAACAATCGCTACCTTCGAACTATTGAATGAATATACACCAAGTCTCGGTGTATAAAAACGAAGAATATTGCATTAAATTTCCTATCTGATGGACTTTGAACTGTTTCGCTCGGAACAAGATCTTAATATCATTTTTACACTATTATATAAACACACAAACGACTTCGAACGAAATAATTTTGACCATCAGAAAGAAGTGAAAAAATTTGTTACGGGAAACATATAAAATGTCATTTTTTAACAAAAGTAGACTTAATACACTCCAGCTCTGGGGTCCAGATATAAAATTGTCGAAACAGAAGAAACATGATGCAGACGTTTTTCAGATACCAGATGTGCATTCGGTTGCAGGGAAATAAGGTTTCGGTCTGAAAGTTCGAGCCAGAGCTCATCTGACAGGGAGGGGGAGAGAGCTAGGGAAGAAGAGAGAGGGAGAGAGACAGATGGAGAAAGTGAACGGCGGGGAAGAGAGAAAACGTGAGAGGGCTGGCGGAACAAAATTCATTTGGGCAAATTAAACAGAGTTTAGCAATTTGCGCTTAATCCATTTGTCGGGGATCCGCCGTCCGTCAGTCCGTCCAGTCTGCTTCGTCCCTACTCTCTTCGCAGCCACGGCTCTTAACACGACCACCACTATGCACCCTTTCCTTGCCCGGCCCTTCCCACGTTTCACCTTACCCTGTCGATACTAATCCTCTCGTCTGCATCGTTTGCTGCTGCCACTTTGAAACAGTGTTTCGTGAATTTCACGGATACACGTGGGGGGGGAGGGTTAATAAACTGCAGCCCCCATAGTGACCGAAATACTATAACGTGGTCTGGTAACCGCTGATACCACGCTCTCTGTCGCTTATAAGTAAGAGTGCGAATGTTTCTGCAAATATAGATATTCATGGGTTAATTTAGAATTGGAATTCAAGAATCATTAGCGTTCTAAATAAATAAAGATTGCAATTCACGAAGGTTACGAGGTAATTTACGACAATTACAATTCAAAAAGCATTTGCTTTTGAAGTAAATAACTACTCATGCTCTAAAGAAAATAGGAACCTTAGTCATTTTTGTTATAAATTTCATCGGAGAGTTTCAGGTAATTGTACACGCCATAAATATATAAAATGCGTGGGCTGCTTGTGAATATTAGATCGTTTCAAGACTAGTGGTTATCGAAATAAAGTCTTATTTAGGTGATTATTCGAAGAGGGAATTTATCAGATCAGTCGTTTCTTTGACTGTGTTATCTTGGTCAGTGTTATGTTACTGATATGGTATTTGCTTGTTGCTTTACTTTACTTGGAGGCTACCGGAAAATAGAAATGATGGGTATACAGGGGGGAATACAGATTTGCTCTGTAAATAAATGAATTTAAGTAACTGTAAGTTATTAGATTTGTTTAATATTTCTGACATTTCCAAATCTTATGGACCTTAACTAAATTTGTTTCACTTAATGTTTAACTATAAACCTTTAGTTTTATCTTCAGACCACAATGTGTGAGTGACGTGGTAGCTGAAGTGTTAAACGATCTGATAATTAAGAGTTTCAGTGATTATTTCCATAAATATAAATGTCGAGATAGAAGAAAATTGATCTCATAATATGATTTTATTGTACATTCTTCTACATTCGCGTAAAAAGTTTACAAAGAATCGAAGCACTTCGCCAGAAATACTCTAGAAGAAATTACTAAAATTTATAACAGACTATTTTTTAGGGTTTCCGAGTGACTTTTAATTCAGCACGTGAAGAAATAAAGTAACGCATTAATTAATTATGATTTTCATAAAAAACCTGTTACTATTAGAACTCTAACGGAGACATAGTTACTCTTATTAAACATAGTTTTTGTATAAATAACTAAAGCACTTTAATCGATTCAGCTATAAAAAGGATGAGATTCACAGCGATAGAAAATTAAGGATCGAACCAAACGATTCGAGGGTTGACCCACGGATCGGGTCAGCCTAATTTCTCGAGTGCCTTGGAAGTCATAAATCTACACCCAAGACGTTCGTAAAGATATATCGTCCTTACTTTCTTTTTCATCCACGGAGGACAGTTTTTCATTTCCTCGGAAGTCGAGTTCCATGTCCTTGAACATTTTTATTCAACTCACACTATCGCGAATCCTGCAACTTGTTTTTTTTTTCACACACGTCGTAAACGTACTTTAATGCTTTGCGAGTGCATCGTGTAATCTTATCGCGAATAAGATTCGTAATGTGACACAGAAAAACCTTC